ATATCAGAAACAGAGGCTTGTTCTAGAAAATGCTTGTTTGGCATATTAATTTACTCTGCATCCGGGTGCACCTTGTTTGGTGGCCTCCGGTATTATACGCTTTGAATTTCATTCCACTTGAGTCTCTTTGTGTGCTTTGCACCTGGCTTCTGAGCTTGCTGAAGGATGGTGCTCTTTCAGACTTCTTATGCGAAAAATGCTTTTTTAGTTCTTTTGCACAAATGTTCGTGTTCTGTTTTTCTTACTGAGCAGCTCAGAAAAGTCAGCTGATCTTCCTAGAATCTCAGAAAACAGCATTTCTTCGCCATAAGACTCGCCTGCAAGTGGTCCGAGAGCTGAAGGAGAAGGCTTGTGAGAGCCTGCAGGGTTGGTATTGAAATGCATATGACTTTCTCCTGTATAACTGATTATCCTTTTCTTTGTGGTTTCCGTTTGCCCTGGTGGAGCTGTGCTGTCTTCTAGCTCCGATGGTATCTACAACAGTAGAACAGCATTCTTCTCACCCCCTCCTCACACCATACTTGGACTGTGATTGTGTGTGTGACCTTGCTCATTCTGTAAACACGGCTTTATTTTCAGTGCTGTCTGTGTCACAGCTTTCGTGGGATCAAAATGCACCTGAAAGCTCTTCAAAATGGCACAGCATTGTCTCCACAGGGGTAGCTTGGCTGGGTCAGACAGTGCTCGGCATGTCCTTTGTGAGTACTTGCTAGGCGTATTCACCCGCCAGCCCTCACAAGCGCAGGGAAGTTTTCTGAAAGCAGAATGCTTTGTCCTGGTCCAGATCTCCTGCACTGAGATTGTCATCCCTCTGATTGTGCTGTTTAATATCACAATCCCCACCAGGGCAGAGGAGCACTGTTCTTCTCAGAATTGCTCTTTCTTCTTGTGTACTGGCTGAGTGGGCTTGAGAGCCGTAAGACTCCGAAATGCCAACAGGTAGAATGAGTCTGCCCAAACTGTTTCTCCAACAAGGTACGTAGATTACCCAGAGAGAAAGCGTGGAATAACTGACTTTTTTTCCATATTGTTAACATGTTTTGCAGATTATGAAATGCCAAATTGCCCAGAACTGGATCTTTTCTCTGAAACCAGCAGTGTTGTGACAGCCAGCGACATGAACAGCAAATATTCACACAGCAATTCAAGAATATCAGCGTAGGTGTCTGCCTCCAAATTAAGTAGTGGCTGCCCAGGCATCAGCATTTGGGAGGGCAGCTTTGCATGCTTGTCCTCACAGCTGTTCCTGCCTTGAAGCTGCCTTACTTACAGGCATTTCCTGGTTATTTTAACTCTTAATGGGAGGGAGAGAGCAGAAAATGCCAGCAGCTACTAGTGTAAAAGGAACTGAGTGCCCAGCAGAGGAGCTGTGAACCCAGACTCTGGGCAGGAGCTAGCTCTGGGGGGGTCGGGAAGCAATAGCTGGCTGTAGGCAGCTTGACAGAATGTGGGCAGAGCTCCTCGAACATTAACAGCTTGTGCGCATGGCTTGTGTCCTTTGTCCTAGGTTTTGCACTCCATGGGTGGGGTTTGCTACTACATCTCATATGTCTTCCCACAGTGGGCATCTGTTGCTTTTGACTGCTTTTAAGAATGTGAGCAGCAGTGTGGGGTGGGGTGGGGTGTATTAGAAGCCAGTGTAGTCTGTGGGGCTGCGTCTGAATTTGCTAGCTGAAAAGTGGGAAAATACAGGTGTGGGAAAAGTATGGACATTTTAGGTCACTTTCTGTGGCCCAGATGAAAAGACGAAGAGAGTGCAAACTTAGTATGTCAGAGTGTGCTGATTATTTGGGGACATGATGCAACTAGTACTGGCCTATGTTTGGAAGTTGTTTTCCTGTGATAATGGGCAGGAGCTGAGCTGTATTGGTGCACGGCTTGTGGACGTAGCAGAAATTAAAATGTGCACAGACAAGCACAGTCCTTGGCACCAAATTGTTTTAAGTGGATCTCAGCTTTGCCTGTTTGCCAAACGCTTTACCATACCGTGTGCTTAAAGCAATACTTCAGCCTTGCTGGAACATAGAGCAATCGTTTTTGTAGTAGAGAAACAGCCCAACTACTGACTTGTGTTTCAAGCCACGAAGGATATTGGTTGAGTAGCGTTGGAAGCATTGACACAAAGATACATAAGCTTATATTCAGTCCTCTCACTGGAGAGAGTAAGGACTTGAGTAACAAGTTTCATGCACACTGTTAATGTTCCTTCAGACTTACCCTGTTACAGCTAATCCTGTTGTGCACACTGTAATTAAACGTCCTCCTTTTCAGGCGGTCCTCAAAGAACCGGCGCAAGGCTGAGCGCAAGAGATACAGCTTGAAGGAAGGGAGTCCTTTTGAAGATATGGCCCTTCTGGAAGTCCTGGGAGAAAATGTTCGTGCTGTTGAGACTGTGAAGGGTAGGACACTTGACCTTAATCCACTCCGCAGCTTGTGAGGATGGCTGAGGCAGTGTGCTCCCTCTTGTTCTTAATGGGTATGCTGGGGAGAGAAGCTGCCTTGTCCATAAGACCATCTGTGTTGGACCTTGATTTAGTTCATCTGCCTCTATGCCTGGAAGAACATGTAATAGTGTGAGCTCTCCACACTTGAAGTTTGGGAGCAAAGAAGTGAGGCCTTGTCAGTGCCATGATAGATTTGTCTCACATTTGTACTTGGGCGCTGTAGGGGCTGGATAGGGACAGAACCAGTTCTGATTTACTACTCCCTTTCCTGTGCCTTGAAACCAGAGAAATACAGCTGTTTGTTTATCATACTTGTGTTAATTGCTGTTGCTTGTGCTTCTGTTCCCTCCTGCAGGAGACATACACATTCTTCTGAAGCAGCTTGTGCTGTTTGGTTATGATGAGCAAGCTGGGACACTGCAGCAAGTCCTGGAAGAGGTTTTGCAGTTGATGGAAACTTCAGTCGCAGAAATCTGGACTCCGGACCTGCAGCAGAGCTCTGTCAGCCCGGTCTGTGCTTACCCACAATACCCGTCACACCTGCTATACAATACAAAGTATTTAGCAGTATTTTGCATTCTTCAGCAAAGAGTCTGGAATCCTTCCCTGGCTTTCCAGAGCTGCTTTTTTTTTCATGTAGAGGTCAAATGGATATTCTGTGCAGTACCTGCCAAGTCAGTACACTCTAGATGTGTGCAACAGGTCTAGCCTGCTGTATACCTTGCATTGAATGCCATGTCGGACATGATGAGGTCTCATAAGGCTTGTGTTACCTTGTCCTAGTGGTGACTTCTTTTCATAAGCTCTGTCTTCAGCAATTTGTAGAACATAGGAATACTGCTTTCTTTTTCAGGCCTGATAGTTGAAGTGTTAGCATAGCTTTTATCTACTGGGAGAGTGGTTATCCAGCCTGGTGGTGTGAAGTGAAAAGCTACCAGACTGGTCAGTTTAGTCTGAACCAGTATATCATAAGGAATATATTTCAAAAAGAAGGGTTATGTCAGGCTTGTAAGCTTCAGCTTAATGCAAAATAAGGAAATCTTGAGGGCTGCACTTAGTTCCCTTCCAAAGTAAAATCTTTATTTCTAATAAGTAGTTTCTGAGCATTGATGGTGAACACAAGATATTCCTCAGTATCTTCTCCCTAACTACTGATCAGCAAAACTCTTAAGGACAGATTAAAACTGTTCTATGTGACAGGGAGTTGAGGCTCTCAAATTAACTTTAAATACTGCTGGCAGTGTAATGAAAGTAGTCTTGCCAAGTCATAACACTTAGAGTGCTGTGACGAAGTCAGTGCTGGGGTAAGGGTTCTGTGTCCTGAGAGGCTGTCCAAAGGCAGCTCTCTCTGCCTGTGTGTTAACTTTTCTGAGACATTACTGGGCTTTGATTGTGTATTTCTGGTTACTTTGTACTGTGAGGTCTCCTGCAGGCAGCTGCTTCTGCTTTTGGAAACTAACAGCAGAGTTTTCTTTATAGGTATCCCTGCTCTTAGCTTTGCTCGGTGCAGGTTGGAACATGGGTATTGCTTCTTCATACAGGTCCTGGGACCCAATTCAACTGCAAACAGCATTATGGCTGCCTATCAGCAGAAGAGGATGGTGACTCCTGTTGTACAAGGTTAGTTGAGGCTCTGACTTCAGGGTGTGTGTGAAATGTCAGTGAGGTCAATGGGTTTTGAGCCTTTCCAAGCATCGCTACCTGCCAACAGTTGTAGCATTTATTCAGTTACACAAGTTTGTTGCTTTTCTTTATGGTGTACCCTCCCACCTTGCGGCAAGTGAGCAGCCTTCTTAATAAGGTTGGTTTTGCTCTGAAGTCCTGTGCTAAAACTACTGTCTGAATTGTGCTCCTAGCTTCCTGTGTGTGTAGTGTCTGTCTGTTGTGAGGGAATTGGAAGTCTGATTTCTCGGGGAATGTGTTAGGTAATTCTGCTTGTAACTTGTCTGCTGAATTTTTCTGTCTGGCTTTGTCAGCCAGACGAGATCAGGCTAGTCTGTCATCATGCTTTGCCATCTTGGAAGTCCTTGCAGCTAATACAAACTTAGGGCTGAGAGACCTAGCAAGGGCTGGTCCCATCTCCCCTCTGTCTTCCCTCCTCCCCACTAGTCCTACAGTCTCTTCCACTATAGTCCTTGAATTACCTGGAGAAATCCTCTAATAAACCTGTAGATGTGACCTGCCTATTGCCACTTGCCAGGGCTGGCTCCAGAGAAAACCTTATGCCTCTTATTCACACTTAAGAGAGACAGCTGGCTGTTGTGTATGATGTCCCACTTGTTGGTGAATGAACAGAGTTCTGCTTTCTGCCGCTGATCGTTGCCTCCTTGTTCTGAACGATAACACTTAATGGAGAGGGGACTTGACTTGCCCCAGAGATTTAGCTCTATTAGCAGTTCTGCTGGGGGCACTCTTCTGTGCAGGCTGGTGGTCAGTCACTAAAGGGAAATGCTGTGTGTCAGGGACTTCTCAGTGTCCTTTGATGTAAAGAAAAGTAAACTAAGTAGTTGACAGCTCCCAAAGAAGAAACCATATTGCTGTTACCCTCTGTTCTGACACTTGGCCTCTTTGTCTTTCAGATCCAGAATTACTTCTTCCACCAAAACTCAGCAAAAATCTGCAGTGGAAACTGCATCTTCTCCAATAACTAAAAGCCAAGGAATCCCAGTGGACTCTGAACTGTAACTTTTCATATAATTTCATTACATCTTTACAGAAACCATTGTTGTCCTGGCATTTCCTGTTACACTGTTCTTAGGGCTATGCAAGTGAAGGGTCCCTCCACCTGATGCAATTGTAACCTGTGTGGCATCATGCTAATAGAGACAGTCCCACTGCAGAGGTGGTTTGTGAGGCTGAGGAGTAACAGGGCGTGCAGCTCTGAATGCTGCTGGTTTAAGCCAACATGACCTGCCACTGTTCCCTCCCTTCTGGTTGAAGCAACCCCACCAGTGTTGGATGGGCTGTTTTCTCTGCCATCACTCCCTCCCAGGGATGGTACCTGCCATGATGACAGGTCACATTTTAAGCTGTTCAGCCTGGTTTAGAGATTTCACTAGTAGTAAGTCTGTACCAATAGAAAATTGTTGTAGTTGCTAAACAGGTGAGTTGTGTTTTCTCTGTTGAAGCTGGATATTGGCAATACCAGATTTTCATCAGAATCACTTTGCTACCTCAGAGTAAACTGTGCAGCACCTGAACAGCCACAACTGTCCTGAAAGTGTGCCCATTTGCACCAGGGAGATCTTGGGTAGAGGAAAATATGAATAAAAGCAGGGGGAGGGGTGTGGTGGGAGTGTCAGTGTCACACATTGCTGGGTAATACTACCCTAATCATCTGAGTTTGAAGAAGATCAGCTAATGCTGCTGTATGGCACTGACAGATCAGCAGCTGTGCCCTGATTATGCTGTGCGCTATGGCAGGACTCTTTCAGCTGGAAACTGATCTAACCTCATACCTGACAGTTAGGTTTTACCCCAGAATACTTCTGCGATCTGACTCGAGAAGTACCAGCAGCAGTCCTGGGAGGAGAGGCAGGGCACAAGCTCTGCAGGTGAGACTGGAAACCCTTTCAGCGGTGGTAGTCCCCCTCTCCCTCAGTTAATTTTGGCCTGGCAGCTGCTGTGTTCAATGCCAGCCATGTCAGCTAGGTGCTGTGGAAAAATGCCAGCCCGAACAAGGCACTTGCTCTGTATGGAAGTGGGCTGTGGTCTTACTGCGCAGCATTAGCCTGTGTCTAGTGCTGCAAATCATTGGGTTTGGGATGTAAGAACTCCATCGTATGGGGATAGCCTGGTGGGCTTGCACACACTTGTGCTGTACTGGCTTGGGGCTGTTGGAGTGGTAAAACAATCCTTTGTCAGTGTTGCGTGAGGCATTGGAGTGGTCTTACTTCTGGCTGTTCTGAGTTATGTGGCCTGTTCTGGGTGGTGTGGGGATGGCTTAAGACTGTTGTCAAGTGCTGTGACTACACTGGAAAAATTCTTCAAGAGTAAAGCCTTGCAAAATACGCGAAAGACTGCACAGGGTAGGAGTGCTTTACTGGATCTGGGTTTTTGAAATGGTAGCAGAACATAGTCCAAGATTAAAATACAGAAGCCATCTTTCAGATCCAGAGAAAGGGGTGATGGGGGAGTCTGTGATCCTCTCCAGGGTATGGACGGGCTCTGGCCCTGGAAATGCAACAGGACACTGACACCACAGCCTAATCTATTGTCTAGAAAGACATTCCCTCTTTAAAGAACCCAAGAAAAGGTAAAACTGCTGCTGCCTTACTGAGGATTCATGCTTGCCTAAACACAGCAGTTCCTTTAACATATGTATAGGGCTTTTTCTGCTTTTTCATCATGGTGGTGGTCAAAGCTGAAGACCCTCTGGTCTTAAGACATGTTTTCCTCTTCTGCTGTCAAGGCAAAATCACTTTAAATCTGCCTTGCAGGTGGAAGACCAGTCTTGTAAGTCATTCATATGGTAATTCATCACTGAACTCCATTGTCTTCCCCTACCCCTCTTCCTCCCGAGTGAACTTTGACTAAGGAGCAGTAGAGCTGGAAGCAGCACCTAGTGTGTGAGCCTC